GGTATGATACCCTTCCCAGGTGACAGAATCTGGCTGGGATTAAGATAGAGTTCTTGGCTCATTTTTGCCTACTCCCTTCATATGGCAAAGGGTCCTGATTTTCCACTGAGAATGGCAGAAAAAGTTGCCCTTTGACGTAAATGTCTTTGGGGAAGAAGCATAAGCAAATATGAAACAAATGCTAACTATTAATAACCAATGTTATGAATTAGCAAAAACGAGAGTTGCCTTCGGGGCTTTGGGGAGCAGTGACGTGGGTTATCTCACTGCTTGCACCATCCCCCCGTAAGAGGCGGATGTCTCCCAGGCTGTAGGGTAGTGGCATGATTTTGGCTCACTGCAACCTCTGCCTCCCGGGTTCAAGCAATTCTCCTGCTTCAGCCTCGTGAGTAGCTGGGATTACAGGCGCCTGCCACCACGCTTGGCTCATTTTGCATTTTTAGTAGAGACGGGGTTTCACCGTGTTGGCCAGGCTGGTCTCAAACTCCTGACCTCAAATGATCGGCCCTCCTCAGCCTCCCAAAGTGCTGGGATTACAGGCGTGCGCCACCGCGCCCGGCCTCCCTGCCCCATCTTAATGAGGAGCTGTCAAAAGCTCAGAGAGGGTCACACAACAGAGCCCTGGACTGCCCCGCCATGACAACCCCAGAAACAGGAGGAAAGAGATTTTCTGCAAAGCATTCTCAGGCACCAGGGTAGATGCTCAGTTTCCACTGGCACTAGCAGGTAACAGCAGAATCATTTGTTCATTTATTCAACAAACTCAAATGCCCTTTCTGTCTCTCATTCTGTGCTGGGCTTTGCTGGGTCCTGGGAGAGAACTCACACTTCGACCCTACTTTGGGTTCTCGGTGAAGGAGTTTCCATGTTGATAAGAACAGAAAACACAACTACAGTGACTTAAGCAACGGGGATTGTATTGGTTTATAAAATCGAATTATCATGGGGGAATGTGGCTTTCAGAGTGGGTTTGATCCAGCAACTCGATTCAACTGACTTTTTTTTTTGTAGCTATTGTAAATGGGAACACTTTCTTGATTTCTTTTCAGCTATTTTATCATTGATGTATAGAAATGCCACTGATTTTTATATGTTGATTTTTGTATTTTGCAACTTAACTGAATTTATCAGTTCTAAGAGGGTTTTTTTTTTTTTTTGGCTTATTTGAGATGGAGTTTTGCTCCTTTTGCCCAGGCTGGAGTGCAGTGGCATGACCTCGGCTCACTGCAACCTCTGCCTCCCAGGTTCAAGCGATTCTCCTGCCTCAGCCTCCTGAGTAGCTGGGATTACAGGCATATGCTACCACGCCCAGCTAATTTTGTATTTTTAGCAGAGATGGGGTTTCTCCATGTTGGTCAGCCTGGTCTCGAACTCCCGACCTCAGGTGATCTGCCCATCTCGGCCTCCCAAAGTGCTGGGATTACAGGCGTGAACCGCTGTGCCCAGCCAGTTCTAGGAGTTTTCTGGGGGAATGTTTAGTCCTTTCTATACATAAGATCATATCACAAAGAGAGACTATTTGACTTCTTTCTTTCCAATTTTTTTCTTTTTTCCCTGAGACAGTCTTGCTCTGTCACCCAGGCTGGAGTGCAATGGTGCCATCTCAGCTTCCTGCAACCTCTGCCTCCCGGGTTCAACCAATTCTCCTGCCTCAGCCTCCCGAGTAGCTGGGATTACAGGCATGCACCACCATGCCTGGCTGATGTAGAGACGGGGTTTCACCATGTTGGCCAGGCTGGTCTCGAACTCCTGACCTCGTGATCTGCCTGCCTCAGCCTCCCAAAGTTCTGGGATTACAGGCGTGGGCCACTCCAACTTATTTTTATTTTATTTATTTATTTCGAAACAGAGGCTTGCTCTGATGCCCAGGTTGAAGTGCAGTGGCACGTTCTGAGCTCACTGCAACTTCTGCCTCCTGGGCTCAAGCAATCCTCCTTCCTCAGTCTCCCAAGTAGCCACCACTCCCAGCTAATTTTTGTATTTTTAATAGAGACGGGGTTTTGAATTTTTAATACAGACACGGTTTCGCCTTCTTGGCCAAGCTGGTTTCGAACTCCTGACCTCGAGATCCACCCACTTCGGCCTCCCAAAGTGCTGGGATTAAAGGCATTAGCCACCGCACCCAACTTAACACACTTTTTTTTTTTTTTTTTTAAATGCAAAAGCCCTCTGGTATAGCTTTTTTCTAAGGTTCATGGTTTCCATTTGACGTTCAATATCCCCTGTGGCCACATAATTCCTCATTTAGGAAAGACGCAAAGAGAAAAGGGGAGGAGACTGAGACAGAAACAAAGGCAGAGAGGCTCAGAAAAAGAGAGAGGAAGACGGAGACACAAAGCCAGAAGGAGACAAAGACGCAGAACAAATGAGATTCCTCCCCACCGACGACCAGACAAAAAGAAAATCCCAGCCTTTTCGCTGATTCGACCAATTTAAGGCTCATAGACAATCCCTATGGCCCAGGGGATATGCAGCAAGCTGATTGGCTCAGGCCTGACCGAGTCCCTGCAGCCAAGGGGATGGACGTCTTCTCCTTGGCCACGCCCCCGTTGCTAAGCAACTGTGATGTCCTCTCCAACCTTTCTCAATCTTACTCCTATCCCCTGCAGGGCGAGAAAAATCATGGCTTTGAGGTCCTGTACCACAACGTGAAGCAGGGGCCCATCTCCACCAAGGAGCTCGCAGAGTTCATCCGGGAGAGGTAAGGTCCCCAAGCCCCACCCACCAGAGGCCACGCCCCCCACCCTGTAGTCACGCCCACCATGGCTACGCCCAATGGTCAGGGACTAGATCCCTGAGGATTCCAGGAACCAGAGGGGCTCGAAAATCCTGGAAACGACTGATTCTCCACCCTGTCAGCCTCATACCTCCTTTTAAACAACAATCACCCGGTTTAGAAAGTTCTCCTCCTCTAAAGAAAATGATATACCTACTCATGGTGGGAATTTCTTTGGAGACAAGATCTTGCTTTGTTGCCCGGGGTGATCTGATCGTAGCTCACTGCAGCCTTGACCTCCCAGGTCCAAGTGATCCCCCCACCTCAGCCTCCTGAGTAGCTGGGACTACAGGCATGCAGCACCACACCCATCAAAGGTTTAAAAAAAAAATTTGTAGAGAAGCAGTCTCATTATATTGCCCAGGATGGTCTCAAACCCCTGGTCTCCAGTGATCCTCCCGCCTTGGCCTCCCAAAGTGCTGGAGTTACAGGCATGAGTCACCATGCCCAGCTCACTACTGTTGTTAATAAAATATATAGCTGGCCGGGTGCGGTGGCTCAAGCCTGTAATCCCAGCACTGTGGGAGGCCGAGGCGGGTGGATCACGAGGTCAAGAGATCGAGACCATCCTGGTCAACATGGTGAAACCCCGTCTCTACCAAAAATACAAAAAATTAGCTGGGCATGGTGGCGCGTGCCTGTAATCCCAGCTACTCAGGAGGCTGAGGCAGGAGAATTGCCTGAACCCAGGAGGCGGAGGTTGCGGTGAGCTGAGATCGCGCCATTGCACTCCAGCCTGGGTAACATGAGTGAAACTCCGTCTCAAAAAAAACAAAAAAAAAAATATATAGCTAAGAAAAAAACTATGAATTTCCAAAACATTCCCCAGAAGGTTGTGTCATCCCCCCATATGGAGAGCCACTGCTCAGGTGTTTGAGATGGGGAAACTGAGGCCCAGTGGAGTAGCGCCTCTCTCAAGGGTATCTGAAAGCTTCATCATCTTTTTTTTGTTTATTGTTTTGAGATGGAGTCTTGCTCTGTCGCCCAGGCTGGAGTGCAGTGATGTGATCTCAGCTCAATGAAACCTCCCAGGTTCAAGCAATTCTCGTGCCTCAGCCTCCCAAAGTAGCTGGGATCACAGGCATATACTACCATGCCTGGCTAATTTTTGCATTTTTAGTAGAGGTTGCACCATGTTGGCCAGGCTGGTCTCGAGCTCCTGACCTCAGGTGATCTACCCACCTCGGCCTCCCAAAGTGCTGGGATTACAGGCATAAGCCACTGCACCCAGCCAGTTTCTTCATCTTTTTTTTTTTTTTTTTTGTTTTTTGAGATGGAGTCTGGACCATTGCCAGGCTGGAGTGCAGTGGCACGATCTTGGCTCACTACAACCTCTGCTTCCCAGGTTCAAGTGATTCTCCTGCCCCAGCCTCCAAGTAGCTGGAACTATTTTTCAGCAGAGACGGAGTTTCACCACGTTGGCTGGGATGATCTCAGTTTCTTGATCTCATGATCCACCTGCCTCAGCCTCCCAAAGTGCTGGGATTACAGGCATCGGCCATTGCGCCCCACCCAGTTTCTTTATCCTATTCTCCTACCCAGGGCTACCATCGAGGAGACCTACTCAAAGGCAATGGCGAAACTCTCCAAGCTGGCCAGCAACGGGACCCCCGTGGGGTGAGTGGGGCAGGGGTCACCAAGGTGGGAACACGGGGAGCCTCTTCCTACATGGGTATCTCTTCACACTCAGGGCATGAA